CGCCAGTGGAGCGACCCCCCACACCCCCCCCATCCCCTTAGCATTCCCCCCCCGGCATGGGCGCTCACCTCCCGGAGTTAAATGCCCAAAATAGCGCCTGCAAGGTGCCCCCGCCCCCTGCAAATAATTGTACAGAAGCAGGGATCGCATTATTAATAATGTGTGCCCCCCCCTCCTCTTCCTTGCAAATGTGCCCCCCACCCTGAGAAAGCTTTGGGCTGGTTTCTCGTGGTGGTTGCAGGTGGGTTGCACCCCCGTGTGCCCAGGCAGGGGGACCCTGTGCCGGAGGAGGGGGACACCCCCTCTTCCCCCCCTCCCCAGCAGGCAGTTGGGGGGGGGCTGGGAGGCTGTGGCCATGCCGGGGGGAGCTGCCGTCTCGGGGGTGTCCGCAGGAGCCCCCCAAGGTCTCAGCAGCATCCCGGCATCGGGGCGGGCAGGGTGTCTTCCCGGGAGTGGGTGCTTCCCGTGATGGAAATAGTGATGGAAATAGTACTGCCGCAGTGACACACACATGGCTGCGGAGCGGCCGCCGTGCCCGCAGCCCGCATTTTCCACCCCGGATGCGTTTTGGCCTTGCTGGGGAAAGCAAAGTGGGGCCTGGGGTTTGCCTGCCCCCCGGCATCCCCACCAGCCCCTCTCCGGGTCCGGGGGGAGGGGGTTGGTATGACCTTCCATGGCGTAGCAGCATCCTCCCCACCGGCTCTCTCCAGGCACCCCATAAACTTCTGGGTTATCTCACCACATAACGTGATAATCTCGAGAGCGTGAACTGTTTGTTTTCTGCAAATGTGTTTTTATCTGTGCTTTTTTTCTTTTTTTTTTTTTATTTTAAATAATGAGTTTGTATTCCGAAATCAACACTAAATTCTCTTTTCTGACAGGTATCGTTTATTTCTCTTCCTTATCTCCATAGTAATATGCTTTGTTGTGACCAAGTCCTTCCTGCTGACCTGCTGTTTGCCCTTCTTTCTAATGGGCATGAGGTACTACTTCAGTAGAAAAGTTATCCTCCACTATCTCGATTGTGCGCTGCATACGGACATGTCCGATATTGAGCAATATTACATGAAACCGCCAGGTGAGTATGAATTCCCCAGAGGGAGCCTTCCCCCAGCCCTGCTCGGGGAACATGGCTGCTCCCTGCTGCTGGCGCCTTTTCCTCCTGTCAGCAGCACTGAGCAAACTCAAAACTCACCAGAATGCAGCTCTTTAGCCATACCAGGCACAAAGCCATCTCTGGTTTTGGGTTGGGTTATGGGGTAGGTTGTTGTGTTTTTTTTTTTTTCCCCTTCCCCCCCAAAGATGTCTAGTCATCCAAGGCAGCTTCCATCCACCCCCTCCCTGAGTGCAGTGCTCCTGGGTCCTGTGGCTGGTCTGGGGACCTGACCTGGGTGCTCATGAGCACTGAGAGTGAATGATGCACTTAATTACTGCTGGCTGGGTCCACCCCAGCCCTTGCTTCTTGAGTTCGGTATTTCTTTGTGCCTGGTGCTTGGTATTAGCTCTGAGAGTTGGGGGAGGGAGTCCTGAAAGCTCTTTTAACCCCAAATGCGTAGAGGAACCGGTTTTAGTTATTGCGCCCGTTTTCTCGTATTATTCAAGAAAAACTTTCCTTCATGCAAGTGTTTTGGAGGAGGCACGGATCAGGTATGTAAAGGGATGCTGCCTGGGTTCAACATAATATGCAGTCACCCGTTTGTTACATATATGCATGTAATTAATAATGTAGTACCTAGCAGTAATATTTGGTTGTTAAGCTGTAAAAGATCTCTTGTGATTATTTAAAAAGAAAAAAAAATGTCCCTTCAGAGCTTGTCAGGCAGGGAAGGTGCTATTTCCCTTTTTGTAGGTGTGGATCCATGTTGAGGACCAGAGCAAGGGGATGTCTGGGAGATGACTTGGGGTTTGAGGTTTGCTTTTGGTGGTCGTGTAGTACTAGTGGTGAGCTGGGAGAGCACAGGCTCTCCAGTAACCCACCAGAGCTATGTCCATCTCCTCTGGGTTATCTGCGCTGTTGTTTTTCTGCGTGACCATGTTTTCGCTGTATCATTGCTGTTCCCCAGGTGTGACAAACCTCTTCCTGGGCGCTTTCAGAGGACTCATAGGAAGTACCATAGCCACAAACTTCCATCTTCTTCACTTCCAATGTGCAATATTACATTTTTTGAAATACTATATTCCTCCAGTAATAAAAATCCACAAATATCTTAAATGTGCTCGCTTTAGATTTCATTTCCTATCCCAGTGTGTGTCTTGCACGGATCTTGTACCGTCTTGCACACAGGTTGTGTTTCATCTACAGTGCTTGTTTTTGTAACAATTAAGTGACGCATGACTTGTATTAAAAAAGCTCAATCTTCGTTAAAGGTGGTGTCACAAAAACAAAAGGACTCATAGCAAAACATTTCCGAACCTCTCTAGTGAGGTTCAACAGTGTATTACACTGGAGAAGTAGGAGGAGACTCCAGAAGAATAAGAACCTGTCATATGGAGTTAGTAGGTGTTTGAGCTGCATCGCTCACGAAGGCTTGGGACTTGTATGGTCATGATTCAGGGCACGGTGTCAGTGCTTGGAGTTACAACACTAGCATGTATAGAAAATAAAGGAAAGGGACTTAAAGGAAGAGCAAGGAATGCTCTCAGTTTGTGTAATCTGGTTCAGCTGTGTTGCCAACATGTCTTTGGAGCCTTAGCGTTGCTTTTGTTTGGTACCTAGAAGGGCTGATTTCAATTTTAGAGCAAGTGTGTGGGCTTTAATTTTTGACATTAATCATGTGCAATTAGGCTTCTGCCATGCCATAAAAAGCAGATTTATGGAATCGTCGCTGCTTGCTAAAGGTTCCTGATGATAGTGATGTTGAGCAAGTTGGCTGGAGTCATAACTAGGTAAAGGCCAAAGAGGCTTCAGGGACAGAGGAGAAGAAGGATGTCCCTGGGTTGGGACTGGCACCACCGGTGATGCCTGTCCATGTGCCATGAAGCCGTGTGGTGCTATTTGGTGTAGCTGTGCACAAGGCACAAATCCAGCGGTTTGTTCCTGTTTGTACCAGAAATAATCATTGCTGGATTCCTTCCCTGTAAGACAGCAGTACAAATACAGTCATTTTGGAAAAGCCCAGAGACTTGTGCACTTGGGAGGGCATCTGTCTGAACTGCGTTGTCTGTCTGACCGTACGGAGAAAGGCAGAGATGTGCCTCGTTAGCGTTGCCCATCCCACCCAAAGGACAGAAAAATGACAATAAAACAACTTCCAGCCCCAAGTTTGTGTTTTATTCGGCTAGTTTACAAATTAGCACGCAGGCAGAAAGGATTGCAGTGGGAATGAGAAGGGCTCGTTCTCCTGTGTATTGCTCCAGCTTAGACGTCAGTGAGAGCTTTCTCAGTGAGGTGTGAGGAAAGAAGTGGTCACAGCGAGGAATAACCAGGCACAGGGGCCCCCAGAGGCTGGAGATGGCCAGAGCTCAGCCAGACAGGCTAAAAATCCCCAACCTGATACACATTGGCCCGGCTTTAGCTGGGAGTACAGCCAGGCAACTTCTCGTTCCTTCTTTGGAGAATCCTTGTTTACTTGATTGAATTTCCAGCATGGACGATAGGGGAAGGGAGCATTTCTGTGGTGGGTTTATAAATTCTTGGTTTTTAAGGTGATGAACACAAAGGTAGAACTGGGACCTGGTTTTAGGGTCTTGCATCATGATGTGGGTTGTGGCTTCGCTGAGGTTTTGCTCTTGGCATCGTGATACCCAGGCACAGAAAGCTGTTGTTTGCAGGGGGCTCCCTGTGGTACCCGGGATTGGGGTACCATTGTGCAGAGCACCCACAGCAACGAGCTTCTAGTTGGGCTGTCTACAGCGAGGGAGTAATTTAACTATGAAAACAGGTCATTCTTGGTAGCTTTGCCAAAGCACCTGCAAAAGCTGTGGGTCAGTTTTAAAAGAGAACCAAAAGGCCCCAGACTGCGATGGGATGCCGTAAGCACCCAGCTTTAGTGATTAGCGTTGAACAGTCCCATGAGTTACATCATATTAGGGTTTTTCTTCTGCAGTTTTTTCTGAACCGCTTGCCTCCGAGTTAGTTATTGTTTTAAATTTCCTCTGCTGGGTTTTGTATGAACTGAAAAATATGTGCTGACAGTGATTTTGCCGAAGTGCACTAGCCAAAATTTAAATCTTTGTTTTCTCTTGCCTTCCTACACTTACGCCAAGGATCTGGCAGAACGTTTGGGCCAGCACTTAACTTCGAGCGCGTACGCAGTGGGGGGACTTGAAATTGCTGTTGATTTGAAAGGAATTGTTTGTGTTGAGTCCTGTGCTGGGGTCTTAAAACAGAAGGTTGAATGGTTCAAACACCTACCGGAGCTCTTCGTAAATTTCCATTTTTCATTTTAAAATAGCACATATCAGAATTTTCCTTTCTTTTTTTTTTTTACTACTTTCTTCTTCGTAGGCTATGAAAAAAGGCACTGGGGTGGTGGAAAAGAAAGGAGTTGGGTAATGGGCTTAATTGTCAACCAGAGTAACTTAGGCTCTAGTAAACAAAAAATGAAAACCAAATGAAGGAATTAATTTTAAATAGAGCCCTGCCTCTTGCATTTCTCTACGCAAATAAGAGGAGCACAGCTGGAGCTTCTTTTATGGTCTGATGATTTTGACGACTAATCAATTTTACCATGTCTCTTCAAGCTTCTGTCCTGGTCGGTTGCGTTATGTATTTCTTGGAGCGGCTGGTGTATTAGAGAGATTCTTGCAAGGCTGGGGTCTCTGCTGGAGACCTGATGGAAACCAGGACTCCTTGCCTCCCATACAAAACCGCTGCTGTCCGAAACGAGAGGAGCCAGGGCTTTGGCTGATGAACTAGCACGTCTTTCTGCAGTGGTCTGAAGTGTCATCTCCTGATGCTGGCTGTCCTGGCAGGGTCTGCTTAACGGTGTGCGTACGTGTCGCGGCAGTGGGAGCTGGCCTTTGCCAGTGTTTTTGGACACTGGTGATGAGCTGGGTGGCTGCGTCGCGATGCCCAGTCCATCAGGGCAGGACTAACAGACAGCACCCATGGGCAACCTGGAGAGCTGCGGCTGCAGGACCTGGTGGAGTCTTGAGGGCATCTGCCTTGCGTCACGCAGCAGAGAAGCCGGAGTGGTTGCTGCAGGAGGTGTCGGGTCACATTAAACACGCCACGCTGAGAGCTGTGGTTTCCAGCAGTGGCTGCACGTCTGCGGCTCTTGAGCTTTGGGCAGGAGGGTGCCTCTGGTTGCCTTGTGCTGGGAGAGGACATGCGTCTCTGTTCTCCTGCCTCCCTCCAGGGGTGAGCAGAGCCTCCCTGTCCCCCTGCCCTTTGTCCCCTAGCATGTGAGATGAAGAGCCTGCCCTCAAATCCCAACCTCCCTGGGGGACTGGGCAAAGCTGTGCCCTAAGGAAGAGGGGCTACAGAGGGATAGCTCATTAAGGGTGGCACATTCCTCAGCTGAGCCCAAAGCTGGGATGTCCTGCCCTTCTGGGCAGAGGTTTTGGGATCACATCTTTTTGCAGAAGGACACCAGTTGAGATGGGGCCAGAGCTGGATTGTGAGAAGGAGAGATCCTGTTTGCGGCTTGTTCCTTTTGAGGTGTTCCACACCTCCAGTGAGATGTTTGTCCGGCTAACAAGCAAGTATTTCAGTTGTGCTCTTGGATCCAGCCCATTCACAGTGGGTTTGATGGCAGAGGGACAGAGCTGACACCAGAGGGGTTGAACCCAGGTGTTTCCAAGGAGGTGCGCAGCTGGATTTCAAATGGTGTGGTTCCTGCTAACCCCACTCAGTGCAGGCACAGCCCTGGGGGTGCCTGTGGGGTGAGCAGCAGTGAGTTTTGGGGTGCTGGGCTGGTGTGGGGACTGTGGGGAAAGAAAATACAGTGGCCACCTTGGGAGGAGAGCCTCAGCAGGGAGCTGCAGTTGTTCTGCAGACCCTTTGCAAGCCAAAAGTGGGTGGGTGGGGGTTTCTCCCCACCACAGAGCCCCCGGGCAGAGGGGTGGCCCTCAGCCCAGTTCATCCACATTCTGGGTAGTGCTTAAGCTGCCAGATAAGCAGGAGCTCCCACTGCC